AGAACCATTTGTTGGGTATTTTGCAAAATAATAATAATAGCTTGGATCTTTTGGAACTCCATCACCATATCCAAGATATTCAAAATAATAGAGCTGAATTTTCCGGATCCTTCTTCTTTGGCTAATCAAATATTGAAGGAATTAAATGGATTTAACCCTGAAAATATTCTTAAACATTTGGCCTGCAACATTATTGGACTGTTCTCTTTGCTGTTAATTCTTTTTTGTATTGTAATTATAGGATGGCGAGTCTTCAGAGCGAGAGTGCAGAGACTTGAGAGAGTAAATCATCACATGCTTTTTAAAAGAAAAAAGGGGAAATATGTGGGAGGCCATCCTTGCTCATGACTTGAGTTACCTCCCTGGCTGGGTGAGAGGCGCTTAAACACAGCTGTGTCTGAGCCATTTCACAATCTTTCCCAGGTCTGAGGGCTTGTCCATGCAGAGATGTGCCTGGCCGCTGACCTCAAGGCCCAATCGCAGGCCCTGACCTTGGGATGCTTCCCCCCTTAACCTTCATTGGATGGGATTTTCCCTGTAATTTTTTGTTCTCCAATAAAAGTCCACTCCCTGGCATGCTCTCCCTCTCTTGCTAGTCTCTTCTGTAAACCTCACCACTGCATTATGTGGCTGGAGGCAGGAGCTAGGAGAAGCCATCTTGGAGCTGGGGTTAAAGGTAATGAGAGTCTGTCTCTTTAATTTAAAACTCACTACCAATTTCTTATGCACCAAACCTTCTTTCATGAAGCTTGTGCTGGTCCTGTGGCAGACATGAGGGAAAACAGAGGGCTTTTGAAGAAGCTATTCAAAGGCTACATTACAGGTGTTCCCTGACAGGGAGTCCCAGGTGCAGTGTTGATTTTTACTTGTTAATTTGGGAGATAGTCACTTTCTAATTCTTTGGGTGACATGTTCCTTGGAGGACACATAACTCAAGGGAATCTTGTTCTCAGCCCCCAGGTTAAGGAGTGGGAGAAGGAGAAGAGGAAAAGAAAAACATGTCCCTTTTAAAATAAGCAGCACAGGGTAGAGGGTGCTATATTCAGGAGATGAAGTGCTACATGATCACACCAAGGAAAATAGGATGGGAGGGCATGCAAAGAATTGGGTCCCAGTGTAACAGGGGTCTGCTTTATGCTTTAAATATAGCCTCTCCTGCTCTGCACTGTAGAGCAGATCAGGTCAGGTTCCTTTTCTCTGTGGGATGGTCATTTAAAAATGTTTATTTTTTAAATGAACACTTTTTTTCTCTCCCACCTCCTCCCTAATCTCTTCCCCTCCCTAATATCAGTGGAAACAGAATTACCTTTCTTTCCCATCCTAGGCAGATATTTCTTCCCTGAGTACACACTCACCATAGGAATGAAGTAATCCAGACTTCGAAGATGGTACTGGAAGATCTCAGAAATGGCTCTCCCAAGTTAATGAGTGAATTACAACTCCAACAGAGAACATGTGGGATGTGGCCTTTTGAGTCACCTCCTTAAAAACCTCCCTGTCCTGCTAGTGGGCAGAATCACAGCCTGGGGGACAGGAATCCCCTGTGTTTTGCCTTTGCTAGCAAAGCAAGAAACCTCCTTTTTCCTTACTTTCAGAATCTTGTCCTCTATATTGGAGTGGCCTTGGGAAAAGAATTGAGATTTTGGCAACACCTGGTCGAGTAAGAAATCCCCAATAAGGGGGATCAAACACATGGTGTGCGGGGATAAAAAAGTAAAGGCACCTGGGGAAAATCAATTACAGGAACCTAACAAAAATGGGGAGTAAAAATTGTAAGACTGGGATGGGTAAAAACAGTGGAAAGAGCCCATGTGTACAAATCTTCTTATCCTTTAAAGAGTTCTGAGCCAGAAAACACAGTAGTAATATTGAATAAGAACCTCAATGATTAGACTTATGCAAACACTGGCCTCACCTACCTGAAGGCTAAGAGTAGACATAAATGAGCACCTTCAGGGCCTATTTCAAGTGTAAAAGACCCAAAGGTTCACCTGTGGGACCACCTCCAGCCAACTTCTTTGTCCCAGAGGTTGAAAACCAGAAGGTGGGGGTGAACCCAGATGGAAGTTATAGGAAGAGAGGTGGAATGAAGTGGGATGAACCGGGATAGTAAAGAAGACCATAGCCTTGATACCATGACTGTTTAACATAGCGCTTGCTCCATGCTTTGCCCAGAGCCATGTATAAACGCCTAAGCTGGCACACCAAAATGGGTTTTTCTGCAATCAGGCCACCTCACACACCACATACATACACATTTCACTGTACACCCACACCATTCTTTGAATGACATTGAAATTTTTGTGGCTTGTTATATGGCCAGTGTTTGGACAGTTCTTTGCACATGGGTCCCTGTGTCTTGTGGCTCCTCTGTGTGGGGTGGGCCCTGGAAGAGGGGCTCCAGCTTCCCTTGAGGCTCACCCTCCTTCTGCCCTGCTAAGCCCCTCCCACCACACCCACTTTTAGCAATATACTAAGGACTCAGGCCCCAGCCCTCATGTTGCCCCCCTCAGCCCAGGCCACACCTGGATATCCACAGGACAGCAGCCACACCACACAATTCAGCATCCTCAGACCCTGGAGCTATGGACTCCCAGCACCACTGACCCTCAGTCTTTCCATCTGCTAGCCCTGATGCCAGGGGCTTCCCAACCAAGGACTCTACCCACTGTCCTTCAAATATCTCCAGTGGTTTGGACTCCAGCTGTTGCTTCCCAGAATGTAGAACTGGAGAGGGGGAGATTCAACATGGAATGGACCTCCAGGTTGGGGCTCAGAGGCCCTCCTCTGTGGTCTCTGTCTCTAGTCCTGGCTGTGACTCAGCAACCTGCCTGGAAACCCAGGAGCAGCTTGGGGTGGTCCAGGAAGGTGGGGGCTCCATGCCCTTAGAAAGACTTGCTGTGGAAGCCTGGCACGAGGGAGAAGAGATGAATGTTGGGGAGTCCAGGAAGGACTGAGGAGACCCAGGAAGCTGAGATACCACAGACCCAGGTTGCCCATGGCCCAGTGGCTATGCAGGGGATATCAAAAGTGCCTTAGTGAGGGGCTCAGGGTTAGCAGGCTGGGGACACTTGGGAGTCCCAGCCATGGAGTAGGCACAGGGTAGGACTTTTTTTATTCATGGGGCCCAAAAATCTGGAGTCCCTAGAGACTAGATTGGGGTAATTGCCAGCATCAGAAATAAACGAAAAATAAATTTAATCCCAATGTGGCCAAGGCAAGGAAGAAGCAGACATGGCTCCACGTCCCACAGAAGCACAGGGATCTATGGGACAAAACCAGGTGACACAGGAGTGTAGACCTGGTGGGACCTACTAGGGAGCAGAGTCCTGGGCCAGGGCTTTGGCCTAGGCATGGGACATGGGCAGGAAATAGCAGGGACTGAGAAAAATGTTATTTGGAGCTTCTTTGAGGCAGGCACTTTTTTATGTGGTGGTGGTGCTGGGATTGTGCATGTGAGGCAAGCACTCTACCAACTGAGCTCTATCCCCAGTGCCTTGGAGCTTCTTTGAAATTTCCTGATGTAATCAGGCCCTGTCACAGTCCCTTCATCTTGTCCATCCTGTAGTGTAGAGGGATGTGGGGCTCCGTGTCATCTGACCCTTTATTACAGGATTGGTGCAGATATGCCCTCAAGGGCACCCAGAGCTTTTGAGGATAAGGAGCCAAAGGGCAAAGATGTCCACCAGCTCCACCTAGTAGACAACTTGGGAACCCAGCTCCAAAGCCTCTGCAGGGCCTGGTTTGGGTTAGGGTTAGCATGTGGCCAGCTTAGCTCTGACAAGTGCCCCATCTCAGTGACTTTTTCTGAAGACATTACTGATTGTACACCAAGTGGTCTGGGCCCTGTGTCATGGGATTTAATTCTCCCATCCTTTGGTCTGATCTGGTCCCTTATTAGAGGGGAAATGACAGACTGTTAGGAGTTGGTGTTTAAAGAGCCTTTGTAGCCAAATTTGAATACAACACAGGCTTAGAAAGAGTAATCCATAGGCTGACCTTTTACCCGAGTCCTGAAGCACCTGCCTGAGGTCTGCCAGGTGTGGCAGTGGAAAGGCTTGCAGTGGAGGAGTGGCCCTGGTCAGCACCTGCCTTACTGCCCAACCCACACTCCAGTTTCCCTGGCTGCAGTCAGTGCCCTGTTCAAGTTCTTAAGACCCCCTTTCATCTCATGGGGCAACAGTTCTCTCCAGGGCTCTGTGGGTCTCCACTATGAAGGGCACTGGGGACATCTGTGAGGATGTCCTACCCTCCCAGCTCACTCCCCATCCTCTCCACCCCAGGTGTGAGATCTTTGCTGTCTGAGCCCCATTCTTTCCTCATCAACCCTCAGGGTACATGTACCTGGGTGCAGACCCCTAACCCAGACCCTTTCTCTATTAGAGATGAGAGCTTTCATGTTGAGAGCCATGGCCAAGTCAGGATGGCGCCTTCATTTTGCCAGAAGGAGTGGTTGGGAGGTGACGCCAGCTTGCCATTGGGATGATGGTGATTAAGTTAAGCTGTGTATAATTATTGGGATGGTGACTGATTGCTGTGGCTGGATGATGCTGGATTGGGGCAAGCTGTGTATTCAGTTGTGTATGTGGACCTCTGCTGTCAGGCAGTGGGGCGGCTCCTACTGCCTCGGGTGCCCGCTACTTTTGAGTTCTCATGGAGTTCCTGTTGAGTTCTCGTTGGTTCTCACGGAGTTTCCGTGGAGTTCTGGAGAGTTCCCGTTGGGTTCAGGCAATAAAGTAGTTCCTGTTTGAACCTACAAGTGGCTAGTGACCTCTCGGTTATTTGTGCCCAGCCAGACTACAGCACTTTCACATCTCTTCCTCATCCTCCCCCTCCCAAAGTGTGGATCCTGCAGTTCTCACTGGGAGTCCATCCATGATGAGGACAGGCTCATGGAGGCCTCAGCTCTGGAATCAGTGAGGCATCAGCACAGTGAACAGGTGACCCTGACTGTTGACTTACTCCCAGGGTTTTGGGAAAATATTCTACATGCAATTAAATTATTTTTTTATTTTATTATAAAACAAACACACATTGCTGTGGAAGACTTGGGGAAGGTGGAGAAGATTAGAGCAGGTTCTCAATGGCCTGCATGGAGGAGCACCTGAGACCTTCGCTCCCAGACCACATGGGCCTCTCTGTGGTCTGTGAGCAGGGAGACAGAGGCCAGCAGTAGCAGCAAAGCCTTGCACATTCAGCTGCCTGAAGCTGACCAGGAACACACTTGGCAGATGCAGCCACTCCACCTCTGACCAGGGCTTGATTGGCCCAAGGATCCTCTCCACTCAGCAGGGATGAAGAGGCCATCCTCATGGAGGGTAAGGGACATCTGTGGTCTGGATGCCTTTGAAATGCTGCCTGTGCATCTGGAGGATGGCACATATTTTTATTCATCTTTTACTACAACCACTTCTTCCCTGCAGGGGAAGAAGCACCTCAGGTCAGGGTCATTCCTCAAACCATGTGGGCCAGATCCTCTTTTCTAGTTATGGTCTCCCCATCATTCTGTCCCTTTCATCTATGGACTGGACCCATCCTCTCAGCCCTGTAAGGACCACAATCTGCAGCCACATTCCCAGCCAAAGACAAAAACTACCCCAGCCCCAGGATGGTGATGGCGCCAGTTCTATGGCCATGCCCTGATTGATGTTGACAGGTAGGCCTGGCCAGGGCAGTGCTGAGGGATGGAGCCATGCATAAGAATACTACAGGGCTGCTGGGAGAGTGCCATGTGGACTGGCAAGCAGCAGTGTGGCCTCTCTCGAAGCAGAGGGTAAGTGGCCAGAGCAGAGCCCTTTGTGGGAGAGACTGCTATTTGGAAATAGCAATTCATCCTCACTGGCACTTGATATTTTCATCTTATGAAAGAATTTGCAGATCAGGAGGTTGACAACTGACCTCCCATCTTGGTTTTAATTTACATTTCCAAGTGCCCTGTCCTAAGGCCTCACAAGGGTAGAGTCATTTGCTAGACTTCTTAGCTTTCAGTGGATTCTTTTTATCCTGAAAGTTCCTGTGGATTGCTTTGAATGAAGGTAAGCATGATTTCTTCAGGTTGGGAAATGGGACAGAGGTGGTTCTGTGGGACAAACCCTCCCTCAGTGCAATGTACACTTCATGTGACTGTGTAGACCCACGTATAGCCATGGGCAGGACTTGGCTCTTGGAACTTTCAAAACACTGAGACCCCCAGGAACCAAAGACTGAGGTTCCCCTATTCTGCTGTTCCTATAGGCTGCAACCTGAGGATATCTACAGGGAGTCTTGTTATCACCCCTGCTAAGGACTCACCTGAGTCACATTTAGATGCAAATAAGGTGCTTCTGTACTAGTCTGAGGATGGCAGAAAGTGTCTTGGGCCACATTAGCCATGGTCCTGAGCAGGTGGGAATGGCCAATGATCCACACACAGTTCAGTAGAAGAGCCATACTCAAAATTAAATAGAAGAGCCAGGAGGCACAAGGCTCACAGGAGACTGAGTACTGGTGGATGAGGGGCACTCTGCCATAGGACCCAGAGGACCCTGAGCAATATGGCACACATTTTTATATGTGGGACATTAGATGATGGGACAGTTTCCAGACAAGACTGAGCACTGTAAAGCAAGGGGCGCTCACTCACAGGACCCAGTAAAAACTGAGGCACTGCAGGGCGAGAGGCGCTCACCCAGAGGACCCAGAGGAGACTGAGCACTGCTGGGTGAGGGGTGCTCACCTGCAGGTCTCAGAGCCACAGCACTGGAGGGCAAGGGGCGCCCACCCAGAAACATTCAGGGGAAACTGCCCACCTGCGAACAAGGGGCACACAAGAGGGCCCAGAGGAGACTGAGCACTGGTGGGGGGGGCACTCACCCCCAGGGCTCCGAGGACCCTGAGCAATGGAAGGTGAGGGGAGACAGAAACAGCACCCAGGAGACACGGAGCCCTGTTAGGCCAAGGGCACACACGCACAGGACCCAGAGGGGACTGAGTACTGGTGGGAGAGGGCCGCTCCCCCACAGGACTCAGAGACCCTGGAACCTTGTGTGGCTTCTCCCTCAGGCCAAGGCCTCATGGTGGGACAGGGGTGCTCTTTCACAGGACTGAGGATGGATACAAGATGGTGAGATTGTCCCAGACCCCATTTCACATTTTGCTCCTGTCAACGTGGGCCTTGCAGCCCATCCACTGCTCCCAGAAGGTTTCTCCTCTGGTGATAACAGAGTGCCCAGGGGTGTGTCCCAGAAGGTCCTGAGCTTCCTTGGATATTTGGTTTTCTGACATGGGCCAAGGGGACCCCAGAAGTGTGGGCCGAGTCAATTGATCCAGTTTTTTAATAGAACTAGTTTTTTTAAGTAGACTTCTATTTAGAAAATAGAGGATATTTAGACAATTCATTTTACTTCCTAAATTTGATCAACCGAAAACATTGATTTATTAGAACTCAGAGAGATGACAAAGGTGTGCACAATGAGGGACAGAGACAGATACTTGGTGCTGATGGCATGGAGATTCATGGCGGATGCTCTTGTGGTCTCAGGTATAGGTGAGAGGCCTCACTACATGGCATCACCAAAGGCCAAGAGAGCTTGTTGGAATGAGGAAGTGTCCCCATTTCTCCCAGGTTGCATATGGTGGTGCTCTGGACCCTGTGGTCAGGCCAGAATTGGTGGAGCTCCATTAGCAGGAGGGCCTCTCCCACCCAGAGTTCCCTAGATGAGCCAGGTGGCCTGGGGCTCAGAAAAGAATGAGCCCTGCTGGGCCAAGGGCACCCACCCAGGACACCCAGAGGAGACTTGGAAAGGCTAGGTCAGGGGTGCTCCCCCACAGGGCTCAGAGGACCCTGATCAAATTGGGTCACAGGAGCCTAAGCACTAGGCCCAGACAAGGCTAAGCCCTGGTAGGCCAGGGGCACTCACCCACAGGCCCCAGAGGAGACTGAGCCATGATTATCTAGGGGAACTTGGCCCAGGACTCAGAGAAGAGTGATCACTCCCTCTTAGGGGAGCGTGCTCACCCACAGAGCCTCCCAGAGGAGACCCAGCACTCCTGGGGTTGGGGCGCTCCCTCCCAGGACCCAGAGCAGTCTGAGCACTGCTGGCTCTGTGGCTCTCCACCTCAGGACACAGAGAGGAGTCTGCACTGGTGAGGGAGGAGCACCCCCCTCAGAAACTCGGGGGGACTGAGCACTGATGGGCAAGGGGTGCTCACGCTCACCCTCAAGGCCCAGGCCAGTGAGTCTCAGCACTGGCAGGAGAGGAGGGTTCCCCAGAGGACCCAGAGAAGTCTGAGCCCAGGGAGCCTGGGGGTGGTCGTCCATAGGTCCTAGGGAGACTGAGAACTGGTGGGAGAGGGGCCTTACCCATAGGACTCAGAGTCCTGAAACCTTCTGGAGAGCATACATGTGCTCAGAGTCTCACCTACCTCAGTGATGGTGGCACAGTGGTGCTTTCTTACGGGTCTGAGTGTGTCCTCCAGGTGGCGGGAACGTGTCCTGGGCCACATTTCCCATGGTCCTGGGTCCCGGTGGCAATGGCGCCTGATCCACATACAGTTCCCAGAAGGTTTCTATAGGGCATGATATAACATATGGGGCATGTTGCATCAGAAAAGAGGAAATTTAGGGCTGGGGATGTGGCTCAAGCAGTAGTGCACTGGCCTGGCATGCGTGCGGCCCGGGTTCGATCCTCAGCACCACATACAAAGATGTTGTGTCCGCTGAGAACTAAAAAATAAATATTAAAAAAAAAAAACATTCTCTCTCTCTCTGTGTATAAAAAAAAAAAAAAGAGGAAATTTAACTTGCTGGCTGCTACCTGCTTCCGAGTCCTGGGGCCAGATAGCACCTGGCAATTAGCCAGAAGGCATTGCCATGGCTTGTGATGAAGAATCAGACCACCTCAAGGATAGGCTCAGAACCCTTCTGCCCTCATGGACAGTTCAGGTCTCCCATTACTACCTGTAGGATGGGTGTACTCCTGAACTCTCCCCACCCTGCTGACCTTTATCCTGATTGGCTCCTGTACATTATATTAGCTGTGTGTGTTTTCTCATTAAACGAGATACTTCTTTGATTGGTCTCCCTGAAGCATCTGATTGTCCTCCAGAGAGGGAAGGCTGGGTGCTGGCGGTCAGTCGGCCTTCCCTTTCTTGGTTCGTCCTGCTCGGAACTGGCCTTCCCAATCTCTCCCACAGGTCAGGAGAGAACAGGGATGGGGGCTAAACCCCAACAGGTTTCCTCTCTGGTGAAAGCACAGTGCCTGGTGGCATGTCTAAGGAGATCCCGACTAGATAGGAAAGTTGGCTTTCATCAGCTGGCCACAGGGACCTCAGAAATCCTGGGCATGTGGCTTTGGGCCACAAGAGTACAGTGACCAGAGACAGGTCATGGAAATACTGCTCAAGGAGTGATGCAGCCAGATCCTCCGAGCTGTTTCAATGGAGATCCACTAAGGATGGCCTCTGTGGTTTCAGGCATGGGGAGAGGCCTGTGTGAATGGTGGAAAGAAAGGCCAGGCGAGGTGATAGGGAAGAGGAGGTGTCCAGAGATGTCCAAATTTCCTCTGTCATGTGCACCTGGACACCCTCCTCAGGCCACGAGGGTGTCCTGGCATTGGGGGGGAGGAGACACACCCTCACAGTTCAGCAGGAGAGCCAGGAGGCACAAGGCTCACAGGAGACTGAGTACTGGTGGGCGAGGTGTGCTCTCCCACAGGACCCAGAGGACCCTGAGCAATGGTGGTTAAGGGGAGATGATAGGGCAATTTCCAGGCAAGACTGAGTGTTGTTAAGTGAGGGGTGCTTATCCACAGGTCCCAGAGGAGCCTGCAATGCTGGGAGAGGGGTGCTCACCAAGAGGACCCAGAGGAGCCTGAGAACTGCTTGGTCAGGGAGTAGCCACTCAGAAGAGCCTGAGCACTGCTGGGTGAGGGGCGCTCACCTGCAGGTCTCAGAGCCAGAGCACTGGAGGGCAAGGGGCGCCCACCCAGAAAAATTCAGGGGGTACCGCCCACTTGCTAACAAGGGGCACACAACAAGAGGACCCAGAGGAGACTGAGGACTGGTGGGGGAGGGATACTCACCCCCAGGGCTCAGAGGACCCACAGCAATGGAAGGTGAGGGGAGACAGAAAACTGCACCCTGAGAAATGGAGCCCTATTAGGCCAAGGACACACACACACATAGGACCCAGAGGGCACTCAGTGCTGGTGGTAGAGGGGCGCACCCTACAGGACTCAAGAATCCTTGGAACCTTGTGGGGATCCTCCCTCAGCCCAGTGTCTCAGGGACGTCTGGGAGGGTGGGACAGGGGTGCTCTTTCACAGGTCTGAGGATGGATACAAGATGGTGGGAGATTGTCCCTGGCCCCATTTCATATTAGCACCTGTCAACATGTGCCTTGCAGCCCATCCTCAGGTCTCAGAAGGTTCCTCCTCTGGTGACAACAGAGTGCCCAGGGGCATGTCCCAGAAGGTCCTGAGCGCCCTTGGATATTTGGTTTTCTAACACAGGACACTGGGATCCCAGAAGCCCGAGTCGGGTCAGTGGATCCAGGAGAACCCAGCAAGATGAGCAAAGATGTGCACAATGAGGGATCCAGCCAGATCCTTGGTGCTGATGGCATGGAGATTCAAGGTGGATGCTCTTGTGTCTCAGGCATACGTGAGAGGTCTGACGGCATGGCAGCACCAAAGGCCAAGAAAGCTTGATGGAATGAGAAAATGTCCCCATTTCTCCCAGGTTGTGGTGGTGATCTGGACCCTGTGGTCAGGCCAGAATTGGTGGAGCTCCATTAGCAGGAGAGCCTCTCCAGCTCAGAGTTCCCTAGATGAGCCAGGTGGCCTGGGGCTCAGAAAAGAATGAGCCCTGCTGGAGCAAGGGCACCCATCTAGGACACCCAGAGGAGTCTTGGAAAGGCTGGGCCAAGGGCGCTCATGCACAGGGCTCAGAGGACTCTGATCAATTGCAGCAGGGGAGCCTGAGCACTAAGCCCAGAGAAGGCTGAGCCCTGGTAGGCCACAGGCCCCAGAGGAGACTGAGCCATGATTATCTAGGGGAACTTGGCCCAGGATTCAGAGAAGACTGATCCCTCCCTCTTAGGGAGGGGCGCTCACCCATAGAGACTCCCAGAGGAGACCCAGCACTGCTGTGGGTAGGGCGCTCCCTCCCAGGATCCAGAGAAGTCCTCCAGGTGGCAGGAAGATGTCCTGGGCCACGTTTTCCATGGTTTTGTGTCCAGGTGGGAATGCTGCCTGATCCATACACAGTTCCCAGAGGGTTTCCTCTCTGGTGAAGCCCAGTGTCTGGTGGCATGTCTGAATAGATCCTGACAAGCCTCGGAAAGTTGGCTTTCATCCTCTGGCCACAGGGACCTCCGAAATTCTGGGCATGTGGCAGTGGGCCACAAAAGTACAGTGACCAGAGCCAGGTCATGGAAATACTGCTCAAGGAGTGATGCAGCCAGATCCTCGGTGCTATTTCAATGGAGATCCACTAAGGATGGCCTCTGTGGTTTCAGGCATGGGGAGAGGCCTGTGTGAATGGTGGAAAGAAAGGCCAGGCAAGGTGGTTGGGAAGAGGAGGTGTCCAGAGATGTCCAAATTTCCTCAGTCATGTGCACCTGGCCACCCTCCTCAAGCCACAGAGGGTGTCCTGGCATTGGGGGGAAGGAGACCCACCCTCACAGTTCAGTAGAAGAGCCAGGAGGCACAAGGCTCACAGGAGACTGAGTACTGGTGGGCGAGGGGCGCTCCCCCACAGGACCCAGAGGACCCTGAGCAATGGTGGTTGAGGGGAGATGATGGGACAGTTTCCAGACAAGACTGAGCACTGTTAAGTGAGGGGCGCTCACCCACAGGACCCAGAGAACACCGAGGCACTGCTGGACAAGGGGTGCTCACCAAGAGGACCAGAGGAGCCAGAACACTGCTTAGTGAGGGGGGCTCACCTGCAGGTCTCAGAGCCAGAGCACTGGAGGGCAAAGGTCACCCACCTAAAAACATCCAGGGAGACCGCCCACCTGCAAACAAGGGGCACACAACAAGAGGACCCAGAGGAGACTGAGCACTGGTGGGGGAGGGACACTCACCCCCTGGGCTCAGAGGACCCACAGCAATGGAAGGTGAGAGGAGACAGAAACAGCAGCACCCAGGAGAGACTGAGCCCTGTTAGGCCAAGGGCACACACCTACAGGACGCAGAAGGGACTCAGTGCTGTTGGGAGAGGGGCACTCCCCCCAGGACTCAAGAGTCCTTGGAACCTTGTGGGGATTCTCCCTCAGCCCATTGTGTCAGGGACGTCCAGGAGGGTTGGACAGGAGTGCTCTTTCACAAGTCTGAGGATGGATACAAGATGGTGGGAGATTGTCCCTGGCCCCATTTCACATTAGCACCTGTCAACATGTGCCTTGCAGCCCATCCTCAGGTCTCAGAAGGTTCCTCCTCTGGTGACAACAGAGTGCCCAGGGGCATGTCCCAGGAGGTCCTGAGTGTCCTTGGATATTTGGTTTTCTAACACGGACCACGGGAACCCCAGAAGTGTGGGCCGTGTCAATTTTTAACAGAACTAGTTTTTTAAGTAGATTTCTATTTAGAAAATAGAGGATATTTCGACAATTCATTTTATTTCTTAAATTTGATCAACTGAATGCATTGATTTATTAGAAACCAGCGAGATGAGCAAAGGTGTGTGCATAATGAGGGACCCAGCCAGATCCTTGGTGCTGAGGGAATGGAGATACATGGCAGATGCTCTTGTGGTCTCAGGCACAGGTGAGAGGCCTGACCGCATGGCATCACCAAAGGCCAAGAGAGCTTGTTGGAATGAGGAAGTGTCCCCATTTCTCCCAGGTGGCATGTGGTGGTGCTCTGGACCCTGTGGTCTGGCCAGATTTGGTGGAGCTCCATTAGCTGGAGGGCCTCTCCCACCCAGTGTTCCCTAGTTGAGCCAGGTGGCCTGGGGCTCAGGAAAGAATGAGCCCTGCTGGGCCAAGGGCACCCACCCAGGACATCCAGAGGAGACTTGGAAAGGCTGGGCAAGGGGTGCTCCCCCACAGGGCTCAGAGGACCCTGATCAAGACTGGGGCACGGGAGCCTAAGCAGTAGGCCCAGACAAGGCTGAGCCCTGGTAGGCCAAGGGGTTCTCACCCACAAGCTCCAGAGGAGACTGAGCCATGATTATCTAGGGGAACTTGGCTCAGGACTCAGAGAAGACTGGTCACTCCCTCTTAGGGGAGGGATGCTCACCCACAGAGACTCTCAGAGGAGACCCGTTGGGGCGCTCCCTCCCAGGACCCAGAGCAGTCTGAGCACTGCTGGCTCTGTGGCTCTCCACTTCAGAGGAGACACACAGAGGAGTCTGCACTGGTGAGGGAGGAGCGCCCCCCACAGAAACTCGGGGGGACTGAGCACTGATGGTCAAGGGGTGCTCACCCTCACCCTCAAGGCCCAGGCCAGTGAGTCTCAGCACTGGGTGGGAGAGGAGGGCTCGCCCAGAGGACCCAGAGAAGTCTGAGCCCAGGGAGCCTGGGGGTGGTCGCCCACAGGATGTAGGGAGACTGAGAACTGGTGGGAGAGGGGTCTTTGCCCATAGGACTCAGAGTCCTGAAACCTTATGGAGAGCATACATGAGCCCAGAGTCTCACCTACCTCAGTGAGGGTGGCACAGTGGTGCTTTTGTACTGGTCTGAGTTTGTCCTCCAGGTGGTGGGAAGGTGTCCTGGGCCATGTTTCCTGTGGTACTGGGTCCAGGTGGGGATGGCGCCTGATCCACACACAGTTCTCAGAAGGTTTCTGTAGGGCATGATATATCACGTGGGGCATGTTGCATCAGAAAAGAGGAAACTTAACTTGCTAGCTGCTACCCACTTCCCAGTCCTGGGGCCACATGTGGCTAACATAGCGCCTGGCGATTAGCCAGAAGGCATTGCCATGGCTTGTGATGAAAAATCAGACCACCTCTAGGATAGGCTCAGAACCCTTCTGCCCTCAGGGACAGCTCATGTCTCCCATTACTAAGTGAACTCTCCCCACCCTGCTGACCTTTATCCTGATTGGCTCCTGTACATTATATTAGCTGTGTGTGTTTTCTCATTAAATGAGATCCTGCTTTGCCTGGTCTCCCTGACACATCTGACTGTCCACCAGAGGGGAGGGCTGGGTGCTAGTGGTCAGTCGGCCTTCCCTTTCTTGGTTTGTCCTGCTCGGGGCTGGCTTTCCCAATCTCTCCCGCAGGTCAGGAGGGAATGGGAGGCTAAAAACCCCGACAGGTTTCCTCTCTGGTGAAAGCACAGTGCCTGGTGGCATGTCTGAGGAGATCCCGACTAGTTTGGAAAGTTGACTTTCATCAGCTGGCCACAGGGACCTCAGAAATCTGGGCATGTGGCAGTGGGCCACAGGAATACAGTGACCAGAGCCAGGTCATGGAAATAGCACTCAATTTGTGATGTAGCTAGATCCTCCATGCTCTTTCAATGGAGATCCACTAAGGATGGCCTTTTTTCTCTGGTTTCAGGCATGGGGAGAGGCCTGTGGGAATGGTGTAAAGAAAGGCCAGGCGAAGTGGTTGGAAAGAGGAGTTGTCCAGAGATGTCCAAATTTCCTCAGTCGTGTGCACCTGGACACCCTCCTCAGGCCACAGAGGGTGTCCTGGCATTGGGGGGAAGGAGACACACCCTCACAGTTCAGTAGGAGAGCCAGGAGGCACAAGGCTCACAGGAGACTTGAGTACTGGTGGGCGAGGGGTGCTGCCCCACAGGACCCAGAGGACCCTGAGCAATGGCGCTTGAGGGGAGATGATGGGACAGTTTCCAGGCAAGACTCAGCACTGTTAAGTGCTCACCCACAGGTCCCAGAGATCCTGAGCACTGCTTGGGCAAGGGGTAGCTAGCCAGAGGGGCCTGATCACTGCTGGGTGAGGGGCGCTCTTCTGCAGGTCTCAGAGCCAGAGCACTGGAGGGCAAGAGGTGCCCACCCAGAAAAATACAGGGAGGACCACCCACTTGGTAACTAGGGGCACACAACAAGAGGACCCAGAGGAGACTGAGGACTGGTTGGGGAGAAGCACTCACACTCAGGGCTCAGAGGGCCCAGAGCAATGTAAGTAAGGGGAGACAGAAAACTGCACCCTGAGAAACGGATCCCTGTTAGGCCAAGGGCACACACACATAGGACCCAGAGGGGACTCAGTGCTGGTGGGAGAGGGGTGCTCCCCCACAGGACTCAGAGTCCTTGGAACCTTGTGGGGATTCTCTCTCAGCCCAGTGTCTCAAGGACCTCCAGGAGTGTGGGACAGGGGTGCTCTTTTACAGGTCTGATGATGGTACATGATATTGAGAGATTGTCCCTGGCCCCATTTCATCATTTGCTCCTGTCAAGTTGTGCCTTGCAGCCCATCCATGGTTCTCAGAAGGGTTCTCCTCTGTTGACAATAGAGTTCCCAAGGGCGTATACGAGAAGGTCGTGAGCATCCTTGGATATTTGGTTTTCTAAAATGGGCCATGCACGGGAACCCCAGAAGCATGGGCTTTGTTAATTGATCCAGTTTTTTTAATAGAACTAGTTTTTTAAATAGACTTCTATTTAGAAAATAGAGGACATTTAGAAAATTCATTTTATTTCTTAAATTTGATCAACCGAATTCTTTGATTTATTAGAACCCAGTGAGATGAGCAAAGGTGTACAACAATGAGGGACCCAACCAGAACCTTGGTGCTGATGGCATGGAGATTCATGGCGGATGCTCTTGTGGTCTCAGGCATAGGTGAGAGGCCTGACCCCTTGGCAGCACTAAAGGCCTCAATAGAGCTTGTTGGAATGAGGAAGTGTCCCCATTTCTCAAATCCAGGTTGTATGTGGTGGTGATCTGGACCATGTGGTCAGGCCAGATTTGGTGGAGCTCCATTAGCGGGAGGGCCTCTCCTGCCCAGAGTTCCCTAGATGAGCCAGGTGGCCTGGGACTCAGAAAAGAATGAGCCTTGCTGGGCCAAAGGTACCCACACAGGATACACAGAAGAGACTTGGAAAGGCTGGGCAAGGGGTGCTCCCCCACAGGGCTCAGAGGACTCTGATCAAGATTGGGGCAGGGAAGCCTAAGCACTAGGCCCAGATAAGGCTGAATCCTGGTAGGCCAGGGGTACTCACCCACAGGCCCCAGAGGAGACTGAGCCATGATTATCTAGGGGAACTTGGCCCAGGACTCAGGGAAGACTGATAACTCCCTCTTAGGGGAGTGTGCTCACCCACAGAGCCTCCCAGAGGAGACCCAGCACTGCTGGGGTTGGGGCGCTCCCTCCCAGGACCCAGAGCAGTTTGAGCACTGCTGACTCTGTGGCTCTCCACCTCAGGACACAGAGAGGAGTCTGCACTGGTGAGGGAGGAGCGCCCCCCACAGAAACTCGGGGGGACTGAGCACTGATAGGCAAGGGGTGCTCACCCTCACCCTCAAGGCCCAGGGCAGTGAGTCTCAGCACTGGCAGGGGAAGAGGGTTGCCCCAGAGGACCCAGAGAAGTCTGAGCCCAGGGAGCCTGGGGGTGGTCGCCCACAGGATGTAGGGAGACTGAGAACTGGTGGGAGAGGGGTCTTCGCCCATAGGACTCAGAGTCCTGAAACCTTCTGGAGAGCATACATGAGCCCAGAGTCTCACCTACCTCAGTGATGGTGGCACAGTGGTGCTTTTGTACTGGTCTGAGTGTGTCCTCCAGGTGGTGGGAAGGTGTCCTTGGCCACATTTCCCATGGTCCTGGGTCCAGGTGGGGATGGCGCCTGATCCACACACAGTTCTCAGAAGGTTCCTGTAGGGCATGATATATCACGTGGGGCATGTTGCATCAGAAAAGAGGAAACTTAACTTGCTAGCTGCTACCCGCTTCCCAGTCCTGAGGCCACATGTGGCTAACATAGCGCCTGGTGATAAACAAAAGGCATTGCCATGGGTCGTGATGAAGCATGCGACCACCTCTAGGATAGGCTCCAAACCCTTCTGCCCTCTAGGACAGCTCCTGTCTCCCATTAACGCCTGTAGGATGAGTGTACACATGAACTCTCCCCATCCTCCTGACCTTTCTCCTGACTGGCTCCTGTACAATAGATTAGCTGTTGTTTTCTCATTACATGAGATCTGTGTTTCCTGGTCTCCCTGACACAGCTGATTGTTCTCTAGAGAGGGAGGGCTGGGTGCTGGCAGTCAGTTGGTCTTTCCTTTCTTTTTAGACCTCTCGGGGCTGGCTTTCTCAATCTCTCCCTCAGGTCAGGATAGGACGGGGGCTAAAAACCCCGACAGGTTTCCTCTCTGGTGAAAGCACAGTGCATGGTGGCATGTCTGAGGAGATCCTGACTAGATTGGAAAGTTGGCTTTCATCAGCTGTCACAGGGCCTCAGAAATTCTGGGCATGTGGCAGTGGGCCTCAAGAGTACAGTGACCAGAGCCAGGTCATGGAAATACTGCTCAAGGCGTGATGCAGCCAGATCCTCGGTGCTGTTTCAATGGAGATCCACTAATTATGGCCTCTGTGATTTCAGGCATGGGGAGAGGCCTGTGTGAATGGTGCAAAGAAAGGCCAGGCAAGGTGGTTGGGAAGAGGAGTTGTCCAAATTTCCTCAGTCGTGTGTACCTGGACACCCTCCTCAGGCCACAGAGGGTGTCCTGGCATTGGAGGGAAAAGAGACCCAACCTCACAGTTCAGTAGGAGAGCCAGGAGGCACAAGGCTCACAGGAGACTGAGTACTGGTGGGCGAGGGGCGCTCCCTCTAAGGACCCAGAGGACCCTGAGCAATGGTGGTTGAGGGGAGATGATGGGACAGTTTCCAGGCAAGTCTGAGCACTGTTAAGTGAGGGGCGCTCACCCACAGGACCCAGAGGAGCCTGAGCACTGCTGGATGAGGGAGGCTCACTTGCAGGTCTCAAAGCCAGAGCACTGGAGGGTAAGCGACACTCACCCAGAAGAATACAGGGAGGACCACCCACTTGCTAATAAGGGGCACACAACAAGAGGTCCCAGAGGAGACTGAGGACTGATGGGGGAGAAGCACTCATCCCCAGTGCTCTAAGGACCCTGAGCAATGGAAGGTGAGGGGAGACAGAAAACTACACCCTGAAAAATGGAGCCCTATTAGGACAAGGGCACACACCCACAGGACTCAGAGGGGACTCAGTGCTGGTGGGAGAGGGGCACCACCCCCCCAGGACTCAGAGTCCTTGGAACCTTGTGGGGATTGTCCCTCAACCCAATGTCTCAGGGACGTCTAAGAGGGTGGGACAGGGGTGCCCTTTCACAAGTCTGAGGATGGATACAAGATGGTGGGAGATTGTCCCTGGCCCCATTACACATTAGCGCCTGTCAATGTGTGCCTTGCAGAGGATCCACGGGTCCCAGAAACTTTCTCCTCTGATGACAACAGAGTACCCAGGGGCATGTCCCAGAAGGTCCTGAGCATCCTTGGATATTTGGTTTTGTTACATGGGCCACGGGGACCCCAGAAGTGTGGGCCATGTCAATGGATCCAGGAGAACCCAGTGAGATGAGCAAAGGTGTGTGCACAATGAGGGACCCAGCCAGATCCTTGGTGCTGAGGGAATGGAGATTCATGGCGGATGCTCTTGTGGTCTCAGGTATAGGTGAGAGGCCTGACCGCATGGCATCACCAAAGGCCAAGAGAGCTTTTTGGAATGAGGAAGTGTCCCCATTTCTCCCAGGTGGCATGTGGTGGTGCTCTGGACCCTGTGGTTAGGCCAGATTTGGTGGAGCTCCATTAGCTGGAGGGCCTCTCCAGCCCAGAGTTCCCTAGATGAGCCAGGTGGCCTGGGGCTCAGAAAAGTATGAACCCTGCTGGGCCAAGGGCACCCACCAAGGAAACCAAGAGGAGACTTGGGCCAGCGCCGCTCCCCCACAGGGCTCAGAGGACCCTGATCAAGATTGGGGCACAGGAGCCTAAGCACTAGGCCCAGAGAAGGCTGAGCCCTGATAGGCCAGGGGCGCTCTCCCACAGATCCCAGAGGAGAATGAGCCATGATTATCTAGGGGAACTTGGCCCAGGACTCAGAGAAGAGTGATCACTCCCTCTTAGGGGAACGTGTTCACCCACAAAGCCTCCCTGAAGAGACCCATTACTGCTGGGGTCGGGGTACTCCCTCCCAGGACCCAGAGCAGTCTGAGCACTGCTGGCTCTGTGGCTCTCCACCTAGGACACAGAGAGGAGTCTGCACTGGTGAGGGAGGAGCGCCCCCCAGAGAAACTCGGGGGACTGAGCACTGATGGTCAAGGGGCACTCACGCTCACCCTCAAGGCCCAGGCCAGTGAGTCTCAGCACTGGCGGGAGAGGAGGGCTCGCCCAGAGGACCCAGAGAATTCTTAGCACAGGGAGCCTGGGGTGGTCGTCCACAGGACGTAGGGAGACTGAGAACTGGTGGGAGAGGGGCCTTTGCCCATAGGACTCAGAGTCCTGAAACCTTCTGGAGAGCATACATGAGCCCAAAGACTCACCTACCTCAGTGACAGTGGGACAGTGGTGCTTTTGTACTGGTCTGAGTGTGTCCTCCAGGTGGTGGGAAGGTGTCCTGGGCCATGTTTCCCATGGACCTGGGTCCGGGTGGCAATGGCGCCTGATCCACACACAGTTCCCAGAGGGTTTCTGTAGGGCATGATATATCACGTGGGGCATGTTGCATCAGAAAAGAGGAAACTTAACTTGCTGGCTGCTACCCGCTTCCCAGTCCTGGGGCCATATGTAGCTAAGATAGCATCTGGGGATAACCAGAAGGCATTGGCATGGGTTGTGATGAAGAATGGGACCCCCTCTAGGATAGGCTCAGAACCCTTCTGCCCTCAGGGACAGCTCATGTCTCCCATTACTGCCTGTAGGATGAGTGTACTCATGAACACTCCCCACCCTGCTGACCTTTATCCTGATTGGCTCCTGTACATTATATTAGCTGTGTGTATTTTCTCATTAAACCAGATCCTAGTTTGACTCGTCTCCCTGACACATCTGATTGTCCTCTAGAGAGGGAGGGCTGGGTGCTGGCGGTCAGTCCGCCTTAACTTTTTTGGTTTATCCTGCTTGGGGCTTTCTTTCTCAATCTCTCCCTCAGGTCAGGAGAGAAGGGGGGGGGGAGGGGCAAAAAACCCAGACAGGTTTTCTCTCTGGTGAAAGCACAGTGCCTGGTGGCATGTCTGAGGAGATCCCAACTAGACTGGAAAGTTGGCTTTCATCAGCTGGCCACAGGGACCTCAGAAATCTGGGAATGGGGCAGTGGGCCACAAGAGTAAATGACACGTGCCAGGTCGTGGAAATACTGCTCAAGGTGTGATGCAGCCAGATTCTCTGTTCTGTTTCAATGGAGATCCACTAAGGATGGCCTTTGTGGTTTCAGACATGGGGACAGGTTTGTGTGAATGATGCAAAGACAGGCCAGGAGAGGTGGTTGGCAAGAGGAGTTGTCCAGAGATGTCCAAATTTCCTCAGTCGTGTGCACCTGGACACCCTCCTCAGGCCACGAGGGTGTCCTTGCATTGGGGGTAAAAGAGATCCACCTTTATAGTTCAGCAGGAGAGCCAGGAGCACAAGGCTCACAGGAGACTGAGTACTGGTGGGCGAGGTGTGCTCTCCCACAGGACCCAGAGGACCCTGAGCAATGGTGGTTGAGGGGAGATGATAGGACAGTTTCCAGGCAAGACTGAGCACTGTTAAGTGAGGGGCGCTCACCCACAGGACACAGAGAACACTGAGGCACTGCTGGGTGAGGGGCACACTCCAGAGGACCCAGAGGAGCCTGAGCACTGCTGGGTGAGGGGTGCTCACCTGTAGGTTATCAGAGCCAGAGCACTGGAGGGCAAGGGGCGCCCACCTAAAAACATTCAAGGGAGACTGCCCACCTGTGAACAAGGGGCACACAAAAAGAGGGTCCAGAGGAGACTGAGGACTGGTGGGGGAGGGGCACTCTCCCCCAGGGCTCAGAGGACCCAGAGCAATGGAAGATGAGAGGAGACAGAAAAATGCACCCTGAGAAATGGAGCCCTGTTAGGCCAAGGGCACACAACCACAGGACCCAGAGTGGACTCAGTGCTGGTGGGAGAGGGGTGCTCCCCTCACAGGACTCAGAGTCCTTGGAACCTTGTGGGGATTCTCCCTCACCCCAGTGTCTCAGGGACCTCAGGGACGGTGGGACAGGGGTGTTCTTTCAGAGGACTTAGGATGGATACAGGATGGTGGGAGATTGTCCCTGGCCCTATTTCACATTTTGCTCCTGTCAACGTGTGCCTTGCAGCCCATCCAGGGTTCCCAGAAGGTTTCTCCTCTGGTGACAATAGAGTGCCCAGGGGTGTGTCCCAGAAGGTCCTGAGCGTCCTTGGATATTTGGTTTTCTATCCTGTGCCATGGGGACCCCAGAAGCTCGGGCCATGTCAATTGATCCAGTTTTTTAATAGAACTAGTTTTTTAAATAGACTTCTATTTAGAAAATAGAGGATATTTCCACAATTCATTTCTTAAATTTTATCAATCAAATGCATTGATTTATTAGTACCCAGAGAGATAAGCAAAGGTGTGTGCACAATGAGGGACCCAGCCAGATCCTTGGTGCTGATGGCATGGAGATACATGGCAGATGCTCTTGTGATCTCAGGCATAGGTAAGAGGCCTGACCGCATGGCAACACCAAAGGCCAAGAGAGCTTGTTGGAATGAGGAAGTGTCCCCATTTCTCCCAGGTGGCATGTGGTGGTGATCTGGACCCTGTGGTCAGGCCAGATTTGGTGGAGCTCCATTAGCGGGAGGGCCTCTCCAGCCCAGAGTTCCCTAGATGAGCCAGGAGGACTGGGGTTCAGAAAAGAATGAGCCCTTCAAGGACAAGTTCACTCACCCAGGACACCCAGAGGAGACTTGGAAAGGCTGGGCAAGGGGTGCTCACCCACAGGGCTCAGAGGACTGTTGAGAGCCACAGCCAAAGGGGCCCTAGCAAACTTCCAGCTGCCGGCTGATTATTGGCTCACAGCGGCCCCAGCAACATCTAGCTGATTGGCTCCTCTGCGGTGATGTTCATTGGGCTGTTTCCC